CTCATGATATGGTGTAATAGCAGTTTATTGTTCTTGATCTTTCTAAAGCTCTCTGTCCTTCTGGTGTATTGCATCATGGCATGCACCTGCCACCTTGGCCAACTAAAGCCTCTCCAGCACAGTGCAGATATTCTTAAAGTTAGCATTCACTTTTTTGTTGACTTTTTTTTTTTAATGACATGTTAGAATCCTTTTGGAGTCATGGAACACTGTTCCTTAAAAGGAATTGATTTTCTGAGACATGTTTATGTGTCCAGCTCATGGATTAGGCTGTGATCATGACATACTGTTGCAGCCCAGCTACAACAAATAGACCTCACAACCCTCTGGCACCCTGAAAAAATTCCTACCTCTTTTAGCTTTGTCTTTGTACACTCCTACAGAATAAAGCATTTGTTCCCACCACTGACAGTAACATACACAGCTAAAATTTGACTTATGAAAGACTTAGCTAGAAATTTTGTATAACAAAACAGTTGGTAGATAGCACCTGAATTAGAGTTCTCAGCTGTGAAAAGCTGTAAGATATGGGCTCCAGAGTAGCCACTGTCTGGCTCTTTTTTTCATATATTTTTTTCAGACATGGGACAGACTAAAATGAAAAGTCTGGTGATGCAAGATTATGATTTTTGAGAATAAACTGGCCACGTGTGCTGGCTTTGGTTTTCTCGTAAGGCTTCTTTGGCTGACTGCAATGCACTATTTGCAGATGATTTAATTCTCCTTCCTGTTATATACTGAGTTGTAATCAGCCTACGTTCAAGCAATACGCTGCGAAGAGGTGAGTCACTAGCAATTTTCATTTGAGAACCATGCTGTGTTTATAATAAAGTGTATTATATCATGTGTGTGTCTATGCATTCTATTTGGAAACACAGTATATTCTGCATATCTATATACTATAGGCATTACACAGAAACTTTAAAATATATACATGCATAATAGAAAGTATATATATCACACATGTATATCATATATATGACACCATGACACTCCTTCTGTTAAACCTCCCCTTTAATGACATCTTTCATATGCTTCAGATTATTGCTTCTATTTTGCAGTAGTCATTTTTCACTCTACTTTTGGGACAGCTTCTTCCTTTACTCCTGCATAGAATCAGTCTCAGATGCATAACAGTAAAGCAATTGTTTTATGGAACTAATGGTTTTAATACTTTTATTTGAGATAGCTGAGTTTATATGGAAATTTACATATCTGAATAGCTTTGACATATTTCCAAGAATTTATCAAATTCACTATTGTTCAAATGGCAAAACTGGAACTCACCATGCAAGTAAATATGTAGCTATTGACACAGGATGACTTGACAATACTACAGTTGTTTGTGGTGGGTTTGTGGTGTCCAGAAGCCATGCAAACCCAGTAGTGACTACTCACTTCACCTGCAGTGTATGTCCACAGAGGGAGGGAGAAACCTCTTTGCAAAACTCAGCTTATCTGTAGAGAGATGAGCAGGACTGGGTCACTTTCTCACCTTGTCGCACAGCAAAATGGATGATATATGTCTTTGGAGGAATTTGTCTGCCATGTGGAAACTGTTTCTGGAAGGTACTGCCAGCATTACACAAGGGCCCATGCATGTTTTTCTGGAACAGACCTAGGCGGGGAAATGAGCTAAAGGCACAAAAGGCACTGTTCTGACTCAGAGGACTAGGCAGAAAAAGCAAATGCTCCAATAAGCAGGTAGCAAAGTCTGAAAGTAACTCCAACTGGACAATAAGAAAGGGCATAGAGGTCCCTTTTTTCACTAGTCCAGCTGCCAAACCCAGCAGCACACTGTGCTATGGCAGCTATGGGAGACAGGCCACTTGTAGCAGAACCTGTCTGGGATAGGTTTGGCAGTTGTACATGATCAGTACTGGTGCACAGGCAAACTTGGTGTTCTCCAGAAAGGCAAAGCTTGCAAACAAGATTTGGGTTACACTCGCATCTCTTCAAGATTTGTGTGCAGATATCTGTTGGTGTTATTGGGATGATTACCTTGTACTGTGTTAGCAAAAGCACCCAATACTTTTGCTGGACTAGGGAGTGGCTCCTGTGATTCTCCTGCCAATCAGCAATTCAAGGTTTCAAATACAGTCCTAGAGAGTACTTACCTCTAAAAGACCCAAAGCATATAAGCTACCTGGATTCTAACAAGGCAACAAAATAGAAAAAGCATTGTTTAGCAGTATTCATGGCAAACACAGTGCTTTGTAGACCACTAGTTAAGTATTTACCATCTTGTAAAATCTGATGAGCTGTCTTCAGTGTCTATGTTCCTTTATCTCTTGCCCTGTTCTTGGATGAGGAATATAGGGAACTTTAAAGGTAACTTAAATTTACAGTAAATACCATATGCAGCTTTCACATGCTAAGCACTGAAAAAACCTGTTTGCTGCTAGCTCCCTCTTTTACAATGTAAATGCCTCTGACTTGCTGTGTGCCTCTGTTTCCTTTGTGTGCAAGGCACAGCTGTCTCCTTCATGCTGCCTTTCCTCTGATGCATGTTAATCATTTACCTGCCCTGAACAGGTCAACCATTATTGCTGTTCTCTCCCAACCCTCATAGACTTGCTTGATGATTCAAATTACCTTTGCTGCTGAAGTGCATGGAAAGCAAGGACTCTTACGCTCTTTATGGACTCCAGAGAAAATCTGTTGATACAAACATTGTTGGCATCAAATGTGTGAGAGCTGTTAGCTTGCATCTCATTATTATTGTTTTATTTGGTTGGTTTTGGTTTTGTGTTTGTTTGTTTTCCCCATTAATGACAACAGTCTTGTATTTTGAAGTGTACGGGTAACCTACTTACTTTTTATTGTTATGCACCCCAGTGTCCCATTTTGTCTCAGCCAAGGCAGCCCTATCAGGCATGGCAAAATAGATTTTGCAACACATGAGAAATATTAGTTGCTGGCTGAGCCACATAGCCACATCCCTGTGCATGACTTATTACTCCTAAGGCTTGCAGGGACTCTGCCTGAGCAGGGATGTGCTGGTTCCTAAGGTCTGTTTGTAATTTTTCTTGGCTAATGTTTTGGAAAAAAATGGTTTTGAACTAATAATTAAAAGAAAATGCTCTCTTCTGAAAGCTGAATGGAGAAGGGGTTGGTTTGATTTTTTTGGGTGATTTTTCCCTCCTAGGTGAGACATACTGTGTTGCTCAATGGTTTATCATATTTTGACATATCCCTTTTGGCCAAACCCAGTGATCTCATTAAGATGCTCTTTCAAAACCCCCAGGATTTCTTCACCTATCATAATCCTAGCAATTCCAATAGAAGCACAAAACAAATCCAAAAGGACAAGGTCCTCTTCCTAACCCCCCCCCAATCAATTACTCAGTGATACATGGAGGTTCTGCAGGTTCCCTGTTACACTTTATGTTGCCACATCCCACCCTCTGTCTGTCAGCCTGTCATAATGTTTCCTTGCTCATAACAAGCTTTCTATGCTGGTTATGCCTCTTGTAATCTCAGACTTCAGGTCTGATCTTTTTGCAGTCCTCCAGCTCAGAGATCTCCCTTCTACCCCTCCACATTGGCCATATGTTCATTTCGCACCATCAGCTCACAGTTCTTTCATCTCGTGTGTCTCTGTACACCACCAAATGAGTTTGCTTCTTTTCTTCAGTTTGCCTTCATATCCTCTCCCTACTGCTTGTTTTTGCCAATTTTCTTGATTTGAGCTATCATCTCCATGCTAACCATCTCAAAAAGCTATAATTTCTAGCCTTCTGTGGACTAAATGGAGCACCTGCTTATACACTAGGAATTCCCAATCACCTTTCTTTGTGCCCCATACTTCTCTAGATGGGAGTCTAGAGACATCTTCTAAGAGAGGAGTACTGCTGTCTTTTTGGGGTGGGAGTGTGCCTTAAAGCATTGAGCCAAAGCTGACCAAAAACAAAGCTGTGCTTTGTTTTTAAACAAGGAATTACTAAATTTTCCCTATGTTGCTTAGAGTGACATTTAGTTGCCACCAATCCCAGAGCAGTGTCAAGGAGCCACATGGCAGTTTGCACTCCTGCATGCTGGCAGAAAACACTAGTGAGATCGAGATCTAGGGTCATCTGGAGAAACCCCTGAACGCTGCAGCAGTGGATAGAAAAACAGTTGTCCTTTTCCTAGTCATAGGATCATAGAATGGTTTAGGTTGGAAGGGACCTCATAGACCACCTAGTTTCAATCACCAAGCTGTGGACAGATCCACCTTCCGCTAAACCAGGTTGCTCAGAGCTCCATCCAACCTGGCATTGAACACTTCCAGGGATGGGGCATCCACAACTTCTCTGGGCAACCTGCGCCAGTGCCTCACCACCCTCATAGTAGAGAATTTCTTCCTGATATCTAATCTAAACCTTCTGTCTTTCAGTTTAAAGCCATTCCCCCTTTTCGTATGCCCCTCCCCGTCTTTCCTGTAACCCCCTTTAGGCACTGGGATGAACTTTGAGGTCTTCCCAAAACCTCCCCTTCTCCAGGCATAACAGCCCCAACTTTCTCAGCCTTTTCTGATAAAGAGGTGTCCGAGCCCTCGGATCATCCTCAAGGCCGTCTCTGGACTTGCTCACGGAGGTCTGTAACTCTTAGCCCTTATACCCGGAGGCAGGAGAGGACGTTCCTGGTCGCATCCCGCGGGATAAGGAGGGATGCGGGCCTTCCGCCACTCGCTGCTGGGTGTGGTGTCCCGGAGGTCCCGAGCCCCGTCCGGCCCTCTCGGGAGGTGGCAGGACGGCAGGGCCGGGGCCGGCGACTCAGTGCCTCCGGAGCGTGCCCCATCGTGGTCGGTGAGCGAGCTGGGCGGGGGCGGTGCGGGGCGGCCCGGAGAGCAGTGCGGGGCGGCCCGGAGAGCAGTGCGGGGGGCGGTGCGGGGCGGCCCGGAGAGCAGTGCGGGGGGCGGCCTAGGGCGGTGCGGGCAGAACGGCAGGGCAGTCCGAGCTGCGGGGCGGTCCGGGGCGGTCCGTCCCGCCCCCGCCCTCGCCTTGCAGGCTCCCTCAGGGATCCGCCGCGCAGTTGGCGCCCGGCAGTGCGCGGATAGGTGGGGTCGCGCGGCTGCCGCGTGAGTGCACCCGGCGGGAGCGGGAAGCGGGAAGCGGGAACGCGGGACGGCACAGGGGGAGGCGCGGGGCGGCAGGGCGCTCTTGGGAAGGGCCGGACGGGACGGATGGGATGGGGCTCGGGCTACCTCCTTCCTACCTTCCTTTCAAACTCCGTGATTGCGCCCGCGTTCCTCTTGCCCCTCCTGCAGACCCCCGGCTGTGCCGCGCTGAGCTTCTTCCCTTCCCACCTTCCTCTTCTGGCCGCACCAACACCCCTAGTCCCTGTCCCCGTCTGCACGTTGCTGTGCCTTAACTCCAGACCCTGAGGCAGTGTCCTGTGGTGCGTGTCCCCCCAGCCCCACTGAGTCTACCTCACACTCTGCAGTGCCTGGCCTCCAAGCTTTCTTTCTGTGCCCTACACCCCACGGTGTCTGTTTCCCTAAACCCCCTGACTGTGTCTGGCACCCCGCGGTGCTTTTCTCCCCAAACCCCCCTCTAGCTGTGCACCACATCTCATGGCTCCTGTCTCTCGAGGCCCTCTGGCTGTGCCTCACATGCACTGAGATCATCTTTCTCTCGTGAAGAGCAAGTTGCTCCATGGCATGTGCGTGGCCTCACTTCATCGCGGACTTTAGTGTTGAAAAATGCCTTTTTACTCCCCCACCCTTCGCTCTCAGAGAGAAGACTGGTCCCAGACTTTAGGAAATGGAGGCTTCTTTCTCTCCAAGGGTGAAGGCTGGAGACAGCCAGGGGAGAGGTGTGGCTCATGGTGATATTAATATGTAGGGCTGGAGCGGCAATGTCTAGCCAGGGGTTGTCTGGCAAGTCGTAAGGGTGGTGATCTGGCTTGCTGCCTTCCTCCTCTTTGGAGACAGGTCACCTTTGCTGCCATGTGTGGCAGGTCCATTCTTGAGGACCAGCCACATTGCCAGTGAGGCCATGAGCTGAGGACGCATGTCAATGCCAGCCTGTGTAGTTGATGAGGCTGTAGTCAACCAGTCTCTTAGACTTGTCCTTTGCAACTGTATGTATGTCATGTATGTTGTTTGACAGTTGTATGGATGTTGATACTGAATTTGTAAATAAGTTTTGAGTGAGTTGAAACTTTGGTTGGGTTTTGGGCATTGCTGCTACCAAGATAGAATTGTGTGATACTTGAAAATGCATAGTGAAGCTGCAGACCAGCTCTTCCTGTTTCTTTGCTTTTACAGGAAAGCAAGGTATGTTAATTGAGGCTGCTCAGACAAACCAGAAAACTTACAGCCACATATGGATACTCGCTTCCTTACTTCATTTTAATTCACTTCTTCCCAGATCCATGTGTAGGTCTGTATTGCACATTGCCATGTGGGAGAAGTTGGAACAAGTTTTTCTGGTTGTTGGGAGCAGCCTGGGAACAGCGTACTGCCTGATTTATTCTGCTTCTCAATGCTTTGGATGCCTCCCAGGATGCATTCAGGCTGCCTTGGAGCTGCCTCAGGTAGAAGTAGAGTTGTGGTGTATCGACATGGCATTAGGCAGCGTGGATGTACCCTGAAAATGCTTCACTGAGGAATGGGAGCACTTGTACTTAGGTGTTTGCTTGAAGAAAGTGTACAAAGACCTAGGATTTGAAAACCTAGATAAGCATAGGCTTCAAGTGAGGCATGGCACAGGTTGCCCAGAGAAGTTGTGGATGCCCCATCCCTGGAAGTGTTCAAGGCCAGCTTGGATGGAGCTCTGAACAAGCTGTTCTTGTGAAAGGCGTCCCTACCTATACCAGGGCGGTTGGCAGATGGTCTAGATGGTCTTCAAGGTCTCTTCCAACCCACACCATACCTTGATTCTGTGAAAGTCTTCCTAGGCAGCACCAGTGTTGCAAGTGTGGGGAATAATGCAAGTTCATGGTGTTTCATTATAATGCGTAAACTACCTTTCTATTAAATAGTATTTATTTATTGGTAGAGTAAGACAGGTTATGGTACAGGAAGCAATATTCATGGAATGTGTTGGGAAAGATGCCACAGCATTAGTCAAGTAATACATGCCAAATAAGTTTTAACTAATTATGAAGCTCACCAAATACCATGAAATATCTATGAACTAATTGCATACCAGTAGAAGAATTAATCAGCTACGTTTCTATATCCTGACTTGACTCGATGGCTTCTGCCGAGTATGCTCTCCTTGCTGTGCTGTGTCCTTCCTGGTTTTGTTTCCCTCTGCTGCAATAAATTGGGAAACTGTTTTTTGTTTTTCCCTACCTTGGACTCCTGCTCTTTGTCTTGAAGCTACTTCTACTCAGTGCATCCTATTTAATGCTTGTCTTTTCTCTTTCTCTGGCCTTTCCCTATCTGGTTGCTTAACACACAGATTTCCAGAGGTGTAGGGAAATGTGGAGAAAGACAGAAGGCCGAACAGTGCATGAGATGGGCATGGAAGGTGCGTGTGGGGTGAGGAAAATGGGGAAGTGAAGAAAGTCACGTCTGTGCTGTGTTCAAAGGCAGGAGGTGGAAGGGAGCCAGAATCTCTTCCTGGATCTTCATTAGCTGCTTGTGAAATCATCTTTGTCATATTCTGGATCTAACTTGGCAGACTTCATGTGACATCTCTCCCTACCTGATGACTCTGCCTCAGCATGGCTGTGAGAGGTTGCTGCCCAGTAATTCTCGTAGTGAAGGCTGGTGTGAGCTCCCTGGTCTGCCTCAGCTGAGATGAGATGGTTTAGCTCCTGACTGTTGGTTAAGCTAAGCTGCTTCACTCTGAAGTGGATCAAAGTTGATATGTAAACCTACAGTACATAGGAAAGTATGAATAGGTGGGGTGTTGTCATCTTCAATGACACAACATACCTTATAAAAATAATATTATGGCCCAACACTCATATTCACTTCAGCCTAATGGATGTCTGAAACTTACTTTTCAAAGCTTGGATAGCTAGAAAGAAAGAAATACTCGTTTCTCTCAGTATTCCTCTGTCCCTCACTGCAGATCTTCACTGTTCTGGTTTCCTTTCCTGACGTCACAGCAGGCAGGACACACAGGTGCAGTACTTTCATCAGTTTCTGTTTATTACCCAAGTACATATCAAGTTCAAGAATTGGCAGATTTGATTATGTTTTCTCAGCTGCAATTTATGGACGCTCCAAATGCAGTTTTGGTAGGCCTTTCCAAGTATTTAGAAGGAAATTGGTCTGTGCTTCTGCCCTGATGTGGAAAGGGATGGGAGCTAAGCACTAGGAAACTAGAACAGAGGCTATTACAAATTTAAGAATAATTGTTTCCATAAAACAGATTTAAAATGTGCCATAAAAGCTTCAGGGTTGTCTTAGGTTTAATTTTAGAATCTTTCTGCACATTTAAAATTACTTTATATGTTATTTAAAAGTTGCGTAGTTACTCTGTATTGTTGTACTGTCCCTAGGGAGCAAGTCCCACATGCTTTCCCAGGAACAAACTCCCTCCACTACCTAGGCTCAGTGCTGCATCTAGAGAGCAAATGCAGCATAAATGCTGAAAACTAAACTTTTTACTCCTTAAAAATATTATAGATTATTAGAAAGAAGACAAAGTGTTAACAAACAAATAATTTTGTAAACTTGGTTGTACTTTTTTTAAACAGTTCCTTTTAAAAGGTTCCTTTAGAAGGTAAGAACATGAAAGCTAAAGGGCCATGCAATAGTTTTAGTTTCTGTAGCCTGTTGTGACATGTTCAATCCGCTAAAAGTTTTGCGAAGTCACGAGTAATGTAACAGTTTTTTCAATACGTTTGCTACTTAGTTGAAATCCAAAAAATAAAAAATAATTTCAACAGAAATTAAATACTACATTTACGCTGAAGTTTACCAGAACAACTCAAGTGTCTCTTTTCTTTACTTGTCTTTGGTTTCAGTGTTTAATGCTGAGATTTGACATGGAAATACTGAATAGGGTTCTTTTATTTTTTGTCTATTTTTAATGAATTCATATAGTAAAATGCTTTCAATGTGTCTGTCAATGTTTGTCTTTTTTCTTCTGCATGTGCTTTGCTATTTTTGCTCTATCTGCTTATGATGATTACACACAGCAGTTTATCACTGAAGATGTTGACTAGAAAAGACCTTCAAGTAGTTCATGAATTGAGTGATGGAAGAAGAATACTCAGCTTACAGCAGCATAGATTTAAGTGTCTTGTTGTTCTCTTGGGTCTGGAAGAGAATCTGAGGAACTGGATTTCTGTAGCATCTAACTTCAAAATCCTGAGGTAGCACACAAATCTAGTCTCTTAAAAACTACTTGTAAAGCCTATCCAGCTCAAAGCAAACTCTGAGTTTCACCTGTGGAGAGGCACAGATGTCACAAGGAAGACAAAAATAGGTGTCAGTAAACTCTATGAATCATGTTATTTGCTAGGAGCAATGGTATTCAGGTTGACCCTTTTAAGTGTGCCAGGGCTGTATTACTTGTCATGGTAAAAGCTGTAAACATCAACTCTTATCTCCTGTGATACCAGCTTAGGCTGATGTTTTAATATCACTGGCATTTCTTTTATTCCACATGCTTTTTTTTTTTTTTTTTTGCACATGCTTTTTGTGTCACTTTTCTTTTGTGTTGGCATAAACCTTGGTGAAGGCTGCTACTGAAAAGCACTGAGGAACTGGTCTAAGTCAAAAAATACCCTTAGCATTTCTGTGAGGCTGCCTCTCTCACCCTGGGTCTGTTTCCCAATCTGTTTTATTATGCAGCCAGAAAAATGGTTGTTCCAGCAGGATTCAAGGGTGACATAGGGGCAGGTATGAGTGATGGGGAGAGAGGTTGATTAAAATTACATGGCTACTATTAAAAGTGCTCTTATAATTGCAAACTTACCCTGTAAACAGCCAGACTTGCTCTGCTTGAGCAGGCTATGCTCAAGAGAAACTGCTTGTAGCAGCTTTATGAATTCCTACATGCTGCCTGCCTGCGTTTAATTGTGTTGCGAATTCTTTGTAGTTTGTGTTATCTTTTATATTGATACGGTGCCTTACACATTGAGCCCGGTGCCTGGAGCCTCTATTCAAAG